GTGTATTGCAAGCTTTTACTCCCTATGAAAACTTCTCTCAACAAATCTCCTGCTTGCTTCATATTTTGAAGTGCAAACTGCAATGGATAATGTAAAAGAAATGGTGCATAACTTTCCATGAAACACATGACAAAAGACAAAATTAAATAGTACTCTGCTGACTAATTTTGTCAGTGTGTTTTATTGCACTTACTGAATACTTTTTCCAACACACCTACACTCACTTCATTGATTGGCCATATTTTCCAGCTATCTAGTCTTTGTCTTGGTCCTTCAAATGTAATGTGCTTCATGTAAATCCTTGGAATTAATCCTGTTTAACACCCATTGCTGTTCTAATTCCACAATACAAAACAAATAGGATGAATTCTCTTGATTCAAATTTCAAAAATTCAAATGATACTACCTATGACTTCTGGTTTTTTTCTGTAAGAGAGAATCAATAGGTATACACCCTATAGGACAGTTGGAAGTTCACCATAAGACATGAACTCCATAATTATTTTTTTTTTCAAGAGGACAAAAGTACCATGCTTATTGCAAAGTTCTTAGCCAAAAGGTTGAAGTTCTATATGTATCTCAGTTGACAAGTGCAAAAAAAGCAATATGTTACCATATGATCCCTGCAGTTACCTTTTTACCTTTACTTACCCTTTATGCTTCCATTGTGATGGTGGTTTATTCTCAGCTCCACAAGAAAGATTGCTTTTAAAACTCTCATTTTTATGAACTTGATGAAGTACTCTTCAATGGCTAGAAAGTTTCTCACAATTACAGATTTAATGTATTATTCTTTTGATGGTTAAAAAGTTGACCTAGCAGTATAATTCAAAGAGTAGTCATCAGTAGAAGAACTTCATCTTAAGTTGAAAGTCAGATACCTCAGAGATTTGTTCATAGTAAATCTCTTTTTCTCAATGTATGCAAAACATTAATAATAGTACATTTGCAGAAGAGTAAAATGGCAAAAATAAGTACAGGGTGTTTCAAAGTCCGGACTCATAGGCAGATTTCCTAATTTACCTTTATTTCATTAAATGTTCAAATTGCATGCCATGAACTTCCACACACATACCAATCCTGGCACATAACACTCTCTGAATATTTCTTAGTACTTCTGTACTAATTTTGGTGCACTCATTCATTGAGAAATTTAATTACTTCAGAATACCCACAAGTACGGACTTTTGAAACACCCTGTATATTGGTATATAGATTAATTCCATATTGGGTCCAAACAGGAAAACTTCTGGCCAGCTTCTATGTGAATGACTTATTAAATGAAGAGATGGAGAGAGACTTGGCATAATTGATGCCACCCATACGGAAAGATCATATATGGTAGTTATATGCAATTATCTGTGCCTTATAATTTCATGTATTTATCATGTATTGAAATATGCATGCACATATATGCAGGCATATATGGTTGGAGCATATGGTCCATATATTAAACCTACCAAGGCAGCATATATGATACACCTAGTTTAAGTATGTGGTTTTCATGAAGAACTTTCATATATTGTGAATACAAACTCAGCATGCAAGAATTCATTTTAAAAAAAGTATTGCTGGAAATGTATATTGTACCATATGCATATGGGATATATAATTCAGATGGTATGGCCATATGGTATGAAAAGCAATTACTTTGTAGCCTTTTCATATATAATTTACAAGTATTGCATGCTTTATGCTGGAAAGGTTTTGCTGCTCTTTTTAATAGTGGTTATATTCCTGCATAATGGCTTGCATGCAATTCCTTATGAAGTAAGCCATACATTACTTAATTACTCATACTATGTTTTGAAAGGCTGTATATGTTAATATACTGTATGCTTAAGGAACTATAGGGCTCGAAAACAAGTATGACACTCTGAGGCTTCAGGCTTCTACACAATCAGGCCATTTTCATGATTCCCATTATGAAGTACACATTAACCCTTTTGCTGTGGTGGTGGACTTTTTTCACACAGAGTTTAGTTCTCCCTACAGTGGAGGTCAATCTAAGTCTATTTTGATGTTCCTTTGACTGTGGTGGTTGACATTACTCACACACCAAGTTCTAAAAAAATACCGTAGCACCACGACATCACTTGGATGACTTATGGAACTATTACCTCAAACTTTACACCATAGTTTATTCTATGATAATAGGCAATAATTAAATAGGAAAATAGTACCATCGATTTCAGCCTTGTTTCTACATTCTACTGCCCAACATATTCTGGGGAACCTGCACTCTGTATCGTACCTTGTTTTGAGAGGTTCCACACAATTAAGGGCTACAAAACAGCCTGCAAATGCATGACTTGATGTGATAACACATGGACAAGTATTGGAATAATTATTTCTATAGAAATAAATTGGTTTAAAAAAGTATTGCATTTTTCATTTGCATCAGAGTGCATTTTCCTTATGCTGCCAAAGAATTTTAGGTTTTATTTTTAATTGGGCAGCGAAAGAGTTGAATCATTTGAAGCAAGAAATATAAGAGGATTTTGTCTGTCAGTCACAACATGAGGGTTAACCCTTTGCGACTGATGAAAACTCGTAGTACATGAGAAAAAAACCAGCACAGTGGTGGTGGCCAGTCGCTAAAAACTCTGGCTGTAACTCTTGGGGAGTGCAGAAGCTCTTCTGTACCAAAGGTTTTCAACCTTTTCAATGGCAGTTTTTTTTTTGTGCACACAAGTTAAGCACTACAGTAGCACAATATTGGAACATACTTAGCCATGGCATCTGGAATCACAATGCGTAATAAATGTCAACTCCTTGAAATTCCTCAACATCTTATGATGCATTTGTTTCCACATGACTGGGAAATTCTCAGGGCTGCTAGAAACAAAAAACTGCACCAACCCAAGAAAATCTCAGGCTTGCTAGTTAATGAGTCTAGTAAGCTAGGTCAATCAACTTAATCTCCAGTTATATCAAAATGGAAAGATGTGATGCCATTTTGAGGTCCATAGATAGTCAGAAAAACATGCACAAAATAAATTATTACTTCAAATTCAATGATAAAAAAGCTGCCCATAGATAAATTATAGGCACTCAGTAGTCTCAGCACCATGGATTTTTCATTTACAGGATCATTCATATTTATTACATAAATTTATTATGGTGAATAAAAAAATTTCAGATGGCCTTTTCACTCACAGAACTATTGGAGAATGGAACAATTTAGCAACAGACAGCAGGAACTATCAGTATAGGGGTCATGACATGTGTCTTTAAATGGATTTGCTAATAAAGCTACAGAAAGTGGAACTATCTTTCTCACAACCATGTTTTACCAGTGAAAAAAGGAAAAAATTCATTGGGCTGTCAGACAGATGATTTTGCTGCCAGTAGCATGAACTTGTGGGTAAAAATATATGTCCCAAGTCATCTCCCTTTATGGTATATAGTGGTATGTCAGAGGGCATAGCATTTCTGCCATCTACTAAGAGTTTTAAATATGCACTGCTACGACTTACTAATTGGCTTTCATTTCTTCTGGGGAATGTAGACTATTGGTCAATAGTTATATTGTGTCTCATACTTTTTCCTTTCATCTTGCTTTAAAAAGTCTATAGTAAAAGCTGGTACCTGGTCAAATTATCACACATGAAATATAGAGGAATTGAAGTTAACTCGAGAAGTAGTGAAGTATATCAAAAGATATTCAATACACAATAAAATTTTCAATAAAACAATCAAAAGAATTAATCATGTGAAAATTGCAGTAGAGAAAATGACAGTAGCTCATTTTAGTAAACAAACACAAGCAAGGGCTGCACTAGGTTTCTTGCTGTAGGGGTCCCCAGGACCCTCAGGTCTGATATGGAAGGATCCCCTGATAATTAAGGGGGTTACTTTCCAAGTGAAGCATGAGGGAATCTTGAAGGGTTCCCCAAAAGTAAAAGTCCAGCAATCCATATTTATTTGTTGACTTAACATAGCCAAGCAGTATGATATTCAATCCAGCAGCCTTAGGCCTTCTGCCTGTGCGTCCCTGGGGTCCCAGGACCCCTGGAATGCATGGGCAGGAGGCCAGGGCAAGAAACTTAACACAACCCAACAAGATATATGTAATACACACATCTATCCTTTATAAGTACATACTCATGTTAGTGCATGGTTGTGTGTGATACAGCTAAATCACTAATTTAGCCAAGAAACTTTACAATATTTTACAATAAGATATGATAGGTTACCAGGAATTTGAAGCTCAAGGCTTGTGGATGTGCTTTTTCTCTGGAATTCCTCCTTACTTTCCCCCTTCCCCCCCCTTCAACTAAGGAGATTTTACACAGGAGTACAACTTCATGGATGTTACTCATGACAGATTTTTCCCATAGACTAATACTGTTTGTGCAAGTACTTCCTATGAACTAAGACTCTAAATTACATGCCAAATATCCAAGTAACCTCTAACCTTGGGAGACCCTATTTGGCTCAGATGTAAGGGCTGAACCCAGGTCAACCTGTGTTCAGCCCTTACCACTGGGGGTCTTCACCATCCCACCTCTGGAGATGGGAGTGCCAAATGCTAAGGGGTCTCCCTGCTCACACAAATTGGGCCTTGTACATGGAAAAAAAGACTCAACATGGTTAGTCTCAAACCTAAGTTCTGTCAAAATTTTCTACCTAACAAACAAAACAAAACAAACAAAATTTGCTACCTGCAAAATTGGACATTTGAGCTAATGATTCCTTCCCAGACATATTGATGACCGTTTAAAATTGCTAGTTTGATCATGAAATAATGCAGACAACTCAATCCCATTAGTTACTGCAATTTCATCAGCACAACAGCAACATGAAGAACAGGTAATGGTAGGTAGTGCCCTACTCTAGCTTACAAAAGGGAATTCATAAGTCATGGCTTACTGCAGTCAATTGTAATTCATTCAAAATATTATTTACAGCTTCAAGCAGCAATTTGCTGTTCCCACAGTGTTTCTTGTTTACTCTTTCATAGAAAACATCTCAGACATGCTCAATGGGATCCATACCTTCACCCTGCTCTGCCCAGGCATGGACATCAATGACAACCTCCTCCAGTTCAATCTTGGACTGCCTGGAATTGTGTGCTGGAGTTAAATCATGCTTAAAATGGGCTCAGTAGCAGGGGGGTAGAGTTTTTGCATGGTGGGAGAGACATGATCATTGATCAGTACACAATATTATTGTTTTCACATCCTCCTTACACCAGGTGTTGTTACAGATGCCTTGGTTGTTCAATCACTCCCCACACTATAATACCACCACACCCTAAATTAACAGTTCTCTTCCTACAGTATTTGTGAAATCATTACACAGGCTCCCTCCAAACCAGTCCCCATGCCTCCCTGTCCAGTCCAGCCTGTACTTCATGTTGATCACAGTCTCAGATTGGTCTCCTGACTGCTTTATCCCTCCTCAAGACTAGGTCCTCCAGATACCAGTTTTAGGCTAGAGTTGGCTCATTGACTGGATGAAGTGCAGTGGAGCACCAACTTGGCTGGTGATCATAGAGGTATGGAGTTGGAGACACTCTCTGGAACAACTTCTTGAATATTGTTGGAATAGGACTATAAATTTTGCAGGGGGGGGATGTAAAGGCGTGGGGAATGGTAAACATTCAAAATGTCAGCAAATCAGTAGTTTGCAAGGAGGATGTGAGATTAGCAATATTGTCTACTGATCAAGGATGACATCTTTCCTACCATGCATCAACTCTTCCCTGATGTTGCTGAAGCCACTTTTAAGCATAATTATATTCTAGCACATAATTCCAGGCAGTCCAGGACCTAACTGGAAAAGGTTGTCATGGATGTCCAACCCTAGATGGGGCATATCTGATATAGTATTGGTAAAAAAGGTATCAAGAAACACTGTAGGAACAAAGAGATGCTTGATTCTGCTAGTGGTTGTTGGAATTTCCAGTCAATTGTATGCAGCCATTGGTTGCAATATGTGAATTCTCTCTTGGAGGCTAAAATGGGGCACCACCTGTTTTTAGGCTATGCAGCTTTATTCCATGGAAAATACATAATATTTTCTGGAAATAAAGCAGCATTATCGGATAGTTCTGTTCAAAAATCCACCCCAAAAGAACTAAAAACAAAGGGGAATACCATCTCTCAGTGGAAAATAAGCAGAGAGTTTCACTATTGACAATCCCATCTTGTATTAAATTGCTGCATTCAGCAAAGCAAACACAAGTTTCCCATTGAAAGTAAGTAAATGGCTGGGTGTGCCACAGAAAATTCAAGTGTCCTTATATGTGCTGCAAATATACAAAAGGTTGGGAACCACTGCCCTAGGGGACATATTAAGAACATTGCATTCAGATCCAAGCCTGAGACCATTGTGGATCTTAATGAAATTGTGCATGCCACTTCTGGAGCTATAGATGACACACTTCCACCCACCATTGATAACTGACATTTGCATATTTAGATAGGTAGTTTACTAAGTGGGCAGCACCTTTGGCAAGTCATGTGATTCCAAGAAACTTGAAAGTTCTCCTTTCTAATTAAGATAACTGTCATCTTCAACCAATAGTGAAATTTAATATAAAGGGTGTCCCAACAAGAGCACAAGATTTAATTTTGTAATAAAAAGCATGATTTATTCAAAGAGAGCTGATATTTTTATTTCAGTATAAAGCACACACACAGCGATTAATTGTGGAACACAATATCCGAAAAATGTCCCCCACGACTCTGCTGGCACACTCTTGCTCTTTTGACGAAATTCTCGATGACATTTCCGCATAATTGAGGCTCAATTTCGCCAATGACACGTTGAATCTCCGCCTTGAGCTCAGCAATTGTTTGTGGTTTGTTGGCATAGACACGAGATTTCACAAACCCCCAAAGAAAGAAGTCGCACTGTGTCAAATCGCACGACCTCGGTGGCCAATTCTGGTCGCCATTGCGTGAGATGACACGGTCAGGAAATTTTTTTCGCAACAACTCAGTTGTTTCACGCGCAGTGTGACAGGTTGCGCCGTCCTGCTGAAACCACGTCTTCCAGATTCCAGCAGGACAGCGCAACCTGTCACACTGCGCGTGAAACAACTGAGTTGTTGTCAACAACTCAGTTGTTTCACGCGCAGTGTGACAGGTTGCGCTGTCCTGCTGGAATCTGGAAGACGTGGTTTCAGCAGGACAGCGCAACCTGTCACACTGCGCGTGAAACAACTGAGTTGTTGCGAAAAAAATTTCCTGACCGTGTCATCTCACGCAATGGCGACCAGAATTGGCCACCGAGGTCGTGCGATTTGACACAGTGCGACTTCTTTCTTTGGGGATTTGTGAAATCTCGTGTCTATGCCAACAAACCACAAACAATTGCTGAGCTCAAGGCGGAGATTCAACGTGTCATTGGCGAAATTGAGCCTCAATTATGCGGAAATGTCATAGAGAATTTCGTCAAAAGAGCAAGAGTGTGCCAGCAGTCGTGGGGGACATTTTTCGGATATTGTGTTCCACAATTAATCGCAGTGTGTGTGCTTTATACTGAAATAAAAATATCAGCACTTTTTGAATAAATGATGCTTTTTATTACAAAATTAAATCTTGCGCTCTTGTTGGGACACCCTTTATTTCAATTCAAAACCAGTAACCTTTTTGTGGGCTACCCCATAAGAGAATTTCCTATCTAGACTTGACCTTGAAGCATGATTGAAATTTACAATATTCTTTGCATACCAACATCAGCATTACACCATTGCCCAATGAAAAAGGCTTGTAATTTAAAATTTATCTGACCTGAATCTCAACCTTGCTTGTCTCTTGATGTATAGGAAATTATTTTTTGCGAAATTCCAGATGAATTCATACCTTCAGATATACACAACAGACCAATGCTGGACATGAAAATATTGCACATCCATCATTATTGCTTGAGCAATGATTCACATTATCAATCTCTGCTCCTGCATCACTCATGAGAGTTTACATGCATTGTGTTATGATCAGCAAATGTTTAATGCCTAATGAGTAATGATTGCTTGTGGACCTGATATGGATTCGCAATAAATGCCAGAAGAAATTCAATAGACATGTAAAATCACATAGCTTAGATGATATTACTTGAAGAGGCATTGAGCAATGTGGCAACAACTTCATGTTGGTCGATGGTATATGATGCAGTTATGATCAGTTGCTGCCATGATCTCTCAATGGACAAGGAAATTAATAGATCATGCTATATGGATAGAGCTACAGCTGGAATTGGCCCATACACTGCAGACAGTATAGTGAATCGTTGCTTTTAAATGTACAGGGTGAGTCAAAAGTCCCAGGTCATCAGACAATAGATCATGGATGTCTATATGCTCTCCTTGGTTGTCCAAATATCTACATTCAGTGCCAGGTTTGGTGGAACATTTCACTACATGATTAGGATAGGTGCACTAAAGGGGGGGAGGGCAGGGTTGGGCAAGGCAGCAAGCCCACCCCAGCTGTTCACATATGATATTGGGAAACACTTGGAAGCCATGCAAGTTGTGAAATTTTCAAATTCATCAATATGGAAGTTGGGAATTTCAGAATAATGGAGTGCTATCTGCCATTTTTTGTAACCCACTATCAAGTATTGCCTGAGGAATTAATAAAATAAGGAAGTACAAGAAAAAGACTTGGGACTTTGGGACCCTATACAAAAAATTAAAGTGCCCTCTATGAGAAAACTCATTCAGCCCATAAGAACCATAAAACCTGCTTTCCTTTACCTTGTTGCATATTCTTGTATAGATTATTTCATTCACTTTCCAGGAGAGCACAACGATTTTGGGTTTCATATAGTGACTTAGTTTACAGGACGTCACAAGAGCTTTTTCATTGGCAACTTTGTTGAGATAGATTAGGGCACCATATCACAAATGATGGTCACACAAGAGAACAAACTCTGAAAACATTACTCTGTGAAACAAAGGAATAAGGTAGGAGGAGGATATAACATACTTCAGCTCATTTTAATCCATGTGAAAATGCAAAGCTTCACTGTATTGGAAGAAAAAAAATAGCCAAGACACGAAAGGAAAACAGTTTCCTGCATAAAAAAAATAATTTTATTCAAAGAAAATATCTTTGCACTGACCTAAAGGTTTCTGATCCAGACAAAATGCGTCAGAACAAAAAAAAAAAGCAGCCTAGTTTAATCATTTCCAACAAATAGAATTAAGCAATTGTAATCCTGAATAGTGGGGCTAACAGATCCTCATGAAAAACCTATAATACAACACATCACATGAAAATTTCTATAAATCTCTCAAGAATTGGTTCATGTGGTGGCTTGTCCTTGAAATATTATCAACTTCACCTCCAGGTGTTGTTCCTTATTTGCCCGTCATAATACATCGCTATTCTATTATGATCATGGGTTGGAACCAACAAAAACTGTCTGCTGTATCATCAGGATACTCTTATAGCTTCTGACTTTTTGCTTCAAACTTGGTTCTCACAAAATGATGACCTTCCACTACCTTCCATTACCAGTCAAAGTTGCATGTTTCACAAGTACATAAAAGAGGGACAAAAGCAACCATGAAAGGATGCATTACTGAATGTGAGGGCAGAATTCAGCCCAGACAATCAAGGAGAGCAGAGTAACTTACAGTGGGCCTGGAATTATGAACACTGAAGAAAGGTACCCTGGCAAAACTATCTGATGGAAGAAGCAGAGAAGATCCAGCTCAACTGGATCAAGAAGGATCACAGGTACAAAATAGAGATATTGAGAGAGGCCACTCTCATGAAAGTCACACCCATCACCTCAGTAGCATTTAACAGACTCTGTTCACCTTCAGTATTTATCCTGATCATCTTTGGACACTTCTTTTTCTTCTTCCCTAAGCCGTCTCATCAAAGGAAAGTCAAATTTCACCATTAGGGGCTTGCCAAGGGGAAAATCGTCTACATCACGTTTTTGTCTCTTTGCACGCGGACCTTTCACCCTGGAATCAGCATGAGCACTTGGCCTACCTCTTCCTCTCGCTGGAGAGCTTTCTATCTTGGTCACAGGTGCAGAATTATAGATAGGTGATTCCTTTCTTGCAGATGGAGATCCCATGTTAATTGGCTTTCTCCTGGTCCTGCCTCCTCCAGGTGAAAAGGAAAAGGGTGAGAGATCAAAATCCAAATTGTTCTCAGCAGCAAACTTCTGCAGCTCTACCCTTGACCGAAACCGTTTCCCTGTGGGGCTGCAAAGGAAGGTATGGACTTATTTGTGAGAACAACACAATTTTCATTCAAAATGTATCAAGAAATATGTATGTATGAACTTTCTGACTGCCAGGAATCTGGGACAAATTATCACTTAAGGTATTAAAGGTGTTGTCATTCATTTCAATTTATAAAGATTTTATAAATTCATAAATTTCATTTTCATTTATTGATATATTTTGCTTTTTCAACTCTTCTACTACACCTAACACACAAATGATCCAATAATTAATATTAACCCTTAAAATCAGGAGAGGTGGAGAAGGGGAGGGGGGGAGATTTATGCAAACATGTCTCTTCTCAAAGATATTCACTTATTCTGTGTTTTACCAGTGAGATGTCATCACCATACAGGCACTGTTGTCATGGTAAAGAGAAGTTATGTGAAATTAGTGAGAAAATGATCAAGAGAGCACTTAAAGACAACACCAAGTGCAAAGGAATCATTCCACCAACAATTGTGTCATATTTTAAAAGGTTTTATGAGTGACCAGTTCAAAATTCAGTGAAATTCCACATGCAGAGTGTACTAAGGGCAAAAATTGACACCAGTCCCCATAAAAAACTTCCTTGATCTTGTCTGAGTTGGCAATATCTTAAATTAACCTCTTAAATGGAAAATTTTAGGATGGAACTCAACCACCTAGTAGGGACTTTTTCATGATATGTTACAATGTCTCATGTCATATTTGTGCATAGAAATTGACTACACTTTCTGAAGTTTATATTAAAAATTTTTGAGTTTATACTCAACTCAAACTTGAAAAATCACAGGACATATACATGTCAAACCCATCTAGGGGGGCATTTCACCATGATGAAGCTATATGTCATACCCACACAAAAGATTAAAGCTGAAAGACATATGAATCAAAGCATACCAGCAAATTTATTTCACATTAAAACATGCCAAAATTAGCCAAACTTGAGGTTGATGGCTAATCATGTGTTATAATTCTGTCAAACTTTTTGGAACACTGCTGGTAGTTAAAACTACCTCAAGTGAAAATTTTCCCCCTAAAGCTCTACACATACTGGATGCATCCATCTAGACCTTCCAAGTACATTCTCTAAGGAATTTTAGTCACTTACTAACAAATTAATACTTATATGTTATGATCCTAATTCAGTCCCAAATTAAAATTTGGAGCATTGAAAGAGAAAACATTAAGGATGTTGCATAAAACATTAAAATAATAACCTCATGTTCTAAAATTTAAAATCAATGATCATATTTCTTGACCATGGACCTTTGTTTTCACTCAAGCACTATATGAAGGACACATTGTGAAAGGACAGTAAAAGTAGAACTGTTGCAATAGCAGTTTTTAAAACATTGATGCATTAACCTGATTACTCACCTTATATAATAGATATCACACTTTCCAGCTGATGCCCCTGTTTGGCGTCTAGTCACTTTCTTGGTCCATCCTTCTGGTAGGCCTGATGCATCCAGAACCTCCTCTGAAATTAAAGAAGGTACAAGAGAGGGGGGAAAATAAATAATAGGTTGAATATAAAACTAGGGCTATCACCAAATGGAAGACATAAGACAATACAAGATGAGCCAAAAAATGCCCATGAATACAAGCACCTCATTTCCTATGAGGAATCAGTGATTGTGAAGTGCCAAGGTATGACGGGGAGGGCCGAGACAAAACACATTTTCTGGGAAGATCTACTCACTTCTGTTGCTGGGTGCACTACCAGCACAACTGATTACAAAAGGTCCCACTCAAATCAAAAGGAAGATGAAGGACTCTCAGGAGTGGGAAAAATTAATCAGTGGGAAAACTGGATTGAGACTTATCATAACTTATTACAACTGTGTCTCAGAAGTCAAATGGGTTTAAGAAACTCATGAGAGGAAAAAAAAGACCATTTGCAGAGTTAGCCTTCATCTAGCAGTGGATAGAAAACACAGGGATCCTTTGTGATGTGAACACCTATGTTATGCCAACTTAGTTTTGTGTACACCCCCCCCCCTCACCCCGCTTGTTCAGTGCACACTATGGGAGGTTCACATTACACACTCATTGAGCTACACATCTGATGTGGCTCACCTGATATTGTTGGAACCTCAAGTTCTTCTTTAACTTTCTTCTATGAATCAAAACACCACCAAAAACCTGATTTCATGAGATTCCTTGGCAGGAGTCACAACATCCTTATTTGTAGACAGGTCAATGTGAATAGAAACTCTTTCACACTGTCATTATCTCTACTGCATACGCCATGGTAATGTAGTTGCCATTCAGGCAGGCCCAGGACTCCTGCCAAAGCCTTAGAGAGCAATGCCATACTATTGCATCCAGATTGGTTTTTGCCAGCCATCCTGGACATCATTGGGTTTATCTTGGGGTACACATGGGAGCCGTGTCAGTAAAACCAGATTTGGGATCTATCGCCCCAGAGACGCAGCTGGAAATGGGAGATTCTCTCTCTGCACGATGGTTCCTGAGGTTCAGTTGGTTGAGTGTTGCCATCCACAAGAAGTTCCAACAGCTCCTCAAGATCGAGAGATCTTGAGTTCAGTTTTCCTGAAATGTCTCCCATGTGCATCCTAAGATGTCAGAATGATAGGACATCCCAACTGGACATGTCATTGAACATTGGGGATTACTAGGCCTACCTGATACATGGTGAATACAAGGGAGTAGTATACAAAAGACGAGTTTCTGGGTTGTGGGGGAGTGTTCACATAATGACGGATGCCCAAAAATACTAACCCAATGCCACCTGTGGCTATGTAGGGTATGGCAAAATAAAGACTAATGACCAAAATATCTCCATTTACAACAAAGCTACTATAACGTAACTTTCACTTTGCAGGTATGATTAAGTTTCAAAACCTAGTCATCATGCTTAATACTTCTCTATGAGCCCTGCCATTGAGCAATTATATAGCAATTCACTTGTTCAGGAAGAAATGTCACACAATGTCCTTAACTCATCCATGTAGCCTCAACTTATTTTGACCATTTATAATTACAATCACTAGAAGTTTCAGGAGAAACTTCACTGAGAACACCATTTGCAAAGATGAAGGAGGGGGAGAGAGTAATAAATTCTACATGGAAGTTGACTTCCAGAAAGTATTTGATGCGAACCTTTTCTCTAGAAAATGAGAAAAATTAATCTCATCCAAATGATAATTAACTTCAAAGCAAATTGCAAGACAAATTATTTTATTTACTCTGTGAACTGCAGTTCTATTTTTGTGTGCAACTTTGAATGCACTTCATTGGTCCTCAGGCAGACATAGTAAATTCAATACAACAACCCTTATGCTGTATCATGAACACACCCAGGAATTTGATATTCTCATAAGATTCTAACGACAGTCCAATGGTAAAGCGGGATATCAACCTTGCCAATCAAGTTCTTTATCATCAGATGGTTGATGAGTAGGAAGCACAAACGCTAGGTCTGTACTTGGTTCACGTAAAAACGGAAACCCCACGAAAGAGGGCGGGCTTTAATGGTAGGGCCTAGGATTTAGCTGTGCGCAGGACGTAAAATACACTAACGCAAGGCGTAGACATAGCTCCGAGGTTTCAGACCTTCATCAACCCCAGCTCACCTTTCTTAGGCAGGTCATCCCTTTCTAGACCGGAATTCTCTTTTCCAGGTTCAAGCTTGACGTTACGATTCTCTCCCATCTCCATGGCGTTTGATGTGCGTCCCACACGCCCAGACTCCACCTCCATTATCATGAATTGTTAGGCATGGGGCAGCCAAGCAGCACTCCTCCAAAAGAATAGAGCAGTACGCGGATTGCGGGCTACGGCATATCACAATCTGACTATATCATAAGTGCAAGGTGCACCTATCCTGTCTTGATTCAGTGGCCTTAGTTTACAGTTAATATTTAGTTATAGACTAAATCAAATTACCGTATAAGCGATTCACATGACTGTCATTCAATTTAGCCGAAGGATCTGACGATATTTTTCGGGACCCCGAGACCGCCGCTCAGCTGAGTAGGCTTGGGTCCCTTGCCGCAGTACTACCGGTATGCCAAGCTATAAACTGACTTAAAGGCTGTGTCAAATGGGTAAATCCATTGAGCCTAATAATCATGTTAACCCTCCGCTACTACAATTGGGTGTTCCTATCATACGCCATCAATTTCTTTGATGTAGTTTGATTGAAGACGTCAGATATTATTTAATTAAGTACTCCGAAAAAGGGAGTGGTCGACATTCAACGCGCGAGACGGCCTTTCCTTCATCGCCCAGTCGAGACTCGATTAAGAGTAACCATATATTGCATGCTGAAATAATAAAAAAAGGAACAGAGCAAAGGTTTCCAACATTATGAATTTAACCGTGACAGCTATAAGGAATTCCAAGAAAACGATCTGGAGGGAAAGGAGGGTGGGCGCACCATTGCATTTTGCAAGCTTTAAGATAGCCATCTCTATTGAGAGTTTCTGATCTGGAGTGTGGGTCCATATTAGAGACTATATCGGCCCCCTCCTCACAATGTGATTGCATTATCTCAATTGGTGTTAGAGGGGCATTCACAGTTAAAAGAAAGGGGGGGGGGGGAAGACAGGTGAGTCAGGTGTACACTCCAGGTTGGACTGGGACGGGGGGAAGAGAGGTAGCAGGCCAAGTCCATCCATGCCCGTTCCATTTTCTCACTACTCGGCTTATTCTTTTCTCTATCCAATCCTGTTTTCAGGAAGGCACTATCATGCCTTTAAATCCTACACCTTAGTAAAAATCTTCTCATCCAACCCAGAGCCATTTGCATTGTCATTAGCTGAAGCTTACCTGCACCTCTTCTACCTTCCTACTTTCAGCATTCACTTGAAAAAAAAAAAGGTTTCAGTCAATTGACATGCACAGTGGTACTCTGAGATAGGTGGAGCAACAACCCCAATAATAAGGGGTGTATACACAATTGATACCTCCCACTAGACTCTATACAGAATTGTGCTTTGCCCAGCCTGTCATCTCTTTATTCTTCTTACATATCTCTCCATGGAATCAATCCCACCTAACCCTCCCCTTTGGTACCCCTGGTATTTAATATACTCAGTTCTTATTTAAATGGAAATTCCATAAAATATCATTCATGCAACATATGTACAATATGCTCATATCATACTGCATTCATGGCAAAATTTCATAGCCCCTTTGAGGGGTGAATTTCATTCACCCCTCAAAAAAGTAGGAAAAGGAAAGTTTGAAGCCATGCTGTCAAAAATTGTGCTTCACCAAAGATATAGCTTAATCCTTCATGAAAACTTGCTCTGTTCCCAGACTGGTGAAGGTACCATCTTGGATCTTTTACTGTCTTGCATATTATTTGTAATAGTCTAAGTAGTAGTTGAGGGTTACCATGCCACACAGTGTCATTTGTTGGTGCATGATGACTACAATAGATGCAAAAGAGTTGGCAACCTTTGAGTGTAAGAAGACTTGCAAATTCTGCTGTCAAGTGCTGACCCAATCTCTTTCAAACATTCAACCAAGTCTGTAGGCTTGGGCTGAGTGCCTCAGCCAATAGTCTCCTTATAACCAATGAAACGAGGAGGATACAATGAGCTGCTCCAAACATCCGTGGCGATTTTCATGAAGAAAAGAAATTATTCAGTGAGTTGAACATCTGCACAAACTCTATAGGCTAAGTTCTTAGGCCCTAGCTCTAGCCCTGCCCTTAGCCAGCAGGACTGCATGCATAAGTCAAGGCCTACAATAGAAGTTAGACTAGGCCTATTCAATAATTGAGAGGAAAAAAGGAGTGCCACTAACCCTATCCAATTCAGCATTAAACCATGTAAGGCAGGGTTTCCCAACCTTTTTCTCATGTGACCCCAAAAATCACAATCATACCATTCGGGACCTCACACACTGGCTGAAGTTCGACAAGCACTAAAATCACAAAGAAAAACATAACTTGGCATTTCATTACCATTTCATGACCCCAAATAGGGTCATGACCCACAGGTTGGGAAGCCCTGATGTAAGGACTGTATCCAGGCTGCAAGTGGAGTGGGCTGCAAAGAGGGCCATGTGAGTTTTTAACTGATAGTGGGTCAGATTGGCCCACTGGGATACCAGAAAACTTCCAGAGGGCCCCCCAAACCTCATAAAAAATTATAGGTGGAATTATAGTAACCACTAATTGCAAATAATGACCATATACTGATAATAATTCTATGAGCACTGCCAAATCATGTAAAGCTATAAAAATTACTAACTATTGTGTAGTTATTATAAAATTCAACTTGTTCTAGGGAGCCCCTAGACCATCAGTCCAACCCGGAACATGATCATACATGTCACATATATGTTTGATGCATGTACACGATATGGTGTTTGGTATCTTCCCCATGATCAGTTCCTTGATTCCTAGCATGATGTGGTAAGCATGCCATTTCATGACCTGCACTGCAATGTCCCTTGTCCTTGCTTTTATTCTCATCCCCTATTCCTTTCATTTTAGTTACACATATGGGGTAGCTAGTTACTTAACCCTTTCCCTGGCATCCACTCATTCAAGTGGAGATCCCTGAAACGTTTCGATATCACTGCCAGGGAAAGGGTTAAATTGATAGAGATAGGTGGAAAAGAAGGTTGTGACTGAGATTTACACCAAATCAAACCCTCCCTCAGTCCACTCAAACTACCAATTGCCACTTCCCTTGAAGTTGAGCGTCAATTAATGTTTAGTATGTCCAAAGCCCTTTTTCAGTAACTTCCCAGACAAGGTTATCTTCCATGGCGATATGGCTGAGAGGGAACATAACCTTTCTTGAGAGTCATGGGTTAGTCACACCTAAGCATAAATATAGCCTCAACCACTTCGTAGCCCAGACTATTTCATACCTCACTTTTTTATCTGCATTTTTTTAACTGTCATCAGTGTTCATTGGGAGTGAAATTTCATGTTGAAGTGCTGAAATGTGCATGAAATATGTTTTTAAATTTAAATATGCATGAAAAATATCAATTTCCAAACCGAGGTTTTATTCTTTGGAAGCAGGAAATTACAGCACAATTTTCCTGACCTTTTCCTGGAAATTGGGGGAAAAAACTTTTTTCCGCGAGAATCAGAAGCCCATCCATTTCTTAAAAACGGAAAGTGGACTTAATGAGCATAAATATGCATAAATCCACAAAAACTGGTAACATATGCATTTGTATGCTTTTTTAAAGCAACACTCATCACTTTCAATCACTCTCTCTCATAGAAATAAATGCATTCTCGGGGTCTTATGTCTCTATAATACTGCAGAAAAAAATATGCATTTGCAGAAAAAGCTGCTCCCTAATCATACACATTGGCTGGTTTCAAATCGCAACTGAACTTGCCTCTTGTATCGGGGCCTTAAGACCCGGCCAGCCCTCCTGAACAATCTCTACCCCCTACTTGCGCATTGTCTTTTGCAGTAAGTACCTTGCGGCCCCAAGAAGTCGTCCTAGGGTTGGCTGGGACCAGGAGGGCATGCTTTGAGCACTCCTGGTGTAGTTTCTCCAAAATGATTAATAACCCATATCCATGTAGTCCCAGGCTGGCTGACAGAGTGATCAAATGAAAACCCATCAATCAGCGCGCGAGTCGCCTTAATTCAGTTTCGAGTGAGTCGAGTTTTGTTGTCTTAGGGGTCCAAGAGTCTAACTACAATGCGTTGTTCCTCGAAGAGGTAGAAGGGTCATCATACGGTCATCTCGTTTCGCCGATGGAGGACTTCAATGCACGAATGCGAAACCGTGCGAAACGAGATAGCCATTTCGGTATGTTCGAACAGGTCTACGAGGCCTGTACGACAACCAAACTCGACTTGCTCGAAACTGGGGTGGATTAAAGCGACTCGCGCGAAGATTGATGGGTTTCCATTCGATCACTCTGTCAGCCTACATGGAGCTAATGAGTATCCCTGCTCCCAACTGCGCAAACATAATTGGATCGAGTCCGCTTCAGTGGAGAATCTACCCGTGATATCCAAAATTACGCATAGACTTGGATCTTGGGCTTGCCTGGATTGTTCAATCCTTGGTTCTGCTCCCGGTTTGCTCTTCAGGCCTGCTGCTGGAAATACGGTGTGGCCGTTGGCAAGCCGACCGATTTGTTTAGACATGGTCCGACGCTACTATAAACATCGGATTGCCCGGATCCGGTAGCCAACTTTTCAATAGTCATTCCGGTAGGGTAATGCATAGGTAATGCGTAGGGCATTCCTGATTATCCTGAGCAATGACCGATCCAACATGGAAATCCTGAGCCGAACCCATGCATGTTTTTGGTCACCCTCATTCTACAAAAGCCCCTGGATCATGGGACGACCCGGATACCACGACCATCCTTATCAATGGGGTCCATCCTTGCCGCGCGGACTCGAGTACCATCGAGGAGGGGAATGCATGTCATGTGGTAAATCTCATGCAAAAGAAGTAAAACATAGCTAGCCTTCAACAGCGCAAACCTGCGACGAGAGGGATATTTGCCGCCTATTTGGAGCGTAGTTGCTTCTGGCGCTATCGCAGTTTTAAAATAAAAAATGTAGGCTCTAAATTTTATGCGTAAAAAACAACAAACAGCAGGAGAACCCAGGCTCTGCCAGATGCCTACAGGATGCTTGTGACCCCTGCTTGATAACCTCCAGTATCGAGGATCTGATGACCATGTAACTTAGTCCTATTAGAATATGATAGGTCCAAGGCCTCTGTCAGTTGCATAAATGGGATATTCCTTTTTCATGATTTCACTTCTCTCTTGGTTCCTCTTAGGACACAGGGATTGTGAAGAGGAGTGCACTGAAGACAGAAGAAAGTGGAGAGGCAAAGGAGCAGATCTGTGAGGCTTTGATGAGTGCCTCTCTTCCCAGTGCCCTTGCCTATTCCCCTCATCACATCCAAACCCCTGAAAGAGTCACCTCCCAATTCAGAAGGTAAGCCACCATCCTTTGTACGAAGAGAATCCTCTCCCAATCTTGATTCGGCAGATACCCTCTGTGTGACCTTAACCCGTTCGCTGTAGAAGTCCGATGGCTAGGGATGGAGTACATTTTTCGAAAGAGGGAGCTGTAGCAGTCGGATTAGCTATCATGAAGGAAAATGAGCCTTTTTTAGGGTTGTAGATGGGGGGGCAGGGGATCACAAGCAAGGGACAGCTACTACGAGCAGCTTTAGACCGCCGCGTACTGGTGTGCAGGAAAGGCAGGGAAGAGTCAAGTGTTTCTACGCGAATGCACGCAGCTTACGTAATAAAATAGACGAGCTCAGGGGGCGGGCACTGGACAACGGTTTCGATGTCATCGGAATAACCGAGACTTGGGGAGGTTCTCACATTTCGGATAAGGAATTCGAGATCGAAGGATACGACATCTTGCGGAAGGATAGGCTCGGCAGAAAGGGGGGAGGAGTCGTGTTGTACGCTAAAACCGAACTGGGCGTTCGCGTCAGAGAAGATCTCACTTCGGCTAACTGTGGAGCAATCGAACACTTATGGTGCGAGATCGGTGGGGCAACTGGAAAGATCGTGATAGGAATTTGCTATAGGCCCCCTAACTCTTCTCTCGAGGATGA